TTCCAGCATCCGCAGTTCTTTCGGTTTTTATTTAGTACTTAACTCACTGCCACTTCTCTTCCAGGCATACCCACCTTGAAGAAGTTCTGATTCCCCTCTCTGACACGATTTCGGCATATAAACCACATCTTCCTAGTGGCCGTATGTTCTGAGGAAGGGTCACTCAACCCAAAACGCTGACTCTGATTTCTCTCCAACAGATGCTGCCAGACCTGCTGAGCTTTTCCAGCAACTTCTGTTTTTGTTAATAAAATCTGTTTACTTGACTCATTTTTGGAATTGACAGGTACCTTATGAGCAAAGGTTGAACAGGCTAGGCTTCTAACCATTGGAGTCGGGGGAGATTGTTTGAAACATATAAGATCCTGAGGGGTCTTGACCAGGTGGATATGGAGAGGATGTTCCCTATTGTAGAAGAGTCTGGAACTGGTGGGGGGGGGGGTCACTGTTTAAAAATCAGGAGATGGCCATTTAAAACAGAGATGAGGCTAAATGTCTTTTTCTCCGAGGGTGGTGAGTGCTGGGAACCCTGTTCCTGAAAATGCTGGTGGAAGCAGGGTTCCTGAATATTTTCAAGGCAGAGATAGATTCTTGTTCAGCTGGGGAGGGTGAAAGGTTATAAAGCATAGGCAGTGGTGTACTTTTGAGGCTACGTCGGAACAGCTATGATCCTACTGCACAGTAAAGCAGGGCCCAAGGACTGAATGGCCTACTCCTGTTCCCGATTCCTAAGTCTGGAAGTTCATATCATTATTCCTTCAGTGCTGCTGGGTCAAAATCCTGAAATTCCCTCCCTAGGGGCATTCTGGGTCGAGCTGACGCCCCTGCACTGCAGCGGTTCAGGAAGTCAGCTCACCATCAACTTCTGAAGGCCACTAGGGATGGTCAGTCAGCTTAGTGTATATCATGTAGGAAACTTAATCTGCACACAGACCTGATTCTATGTTGCTGGATTAGGGAGCTCAGACACTGTTGTATAGCTAGGCTGGTCCTGACCTGGGCATGTGTGCATGTGTCAGAGTGTGTGTGTCAGTGTGCATGCATGTGTGTGTGTGCATGTGTGTGTGTCAGTGCATGTGTGTGTGTCAGTGCATGTGTGTGTGTCAGTGCATGTGTGTGTCAGTGCATGTGTGTGTGTGACAGAGTGCGTGTGTCAGTGCGTGTGTGTCAGTGTGTGTGTGTGTGTCAGTGCATGAGTGTGTGTGACAGTGCGTGTGTGGGTCAGTGCGTGTGTGTGTGTCAGTGCATGAGTGTGTGTTTGTCAGTGTGTGTGTGTGTGTCAGTGCGTGTGTGTGTGTGTGTCAGTGCGTGTGTGTGACAGTGTGCGTGTGTGTGTCGGTGCGTGTGTGTGTGTCAGTGCGTGTGTGTGTGTCAGTGCGTGTGTGTGAGTCAGTGCGTGTGTGTGAGTCAGTGCGTGTGTGTGTGACAGTGCGTATGTGTGTGACAGTGCGTGTGTGTCAGTGCGTGTGTCAGTGCGTGTGTGTGTCAGTGCGTGTGTGTGTTTGTCTGTGTGTGTGTGACAGTGTGTGTGTGACAGTGCGTGTGAGTGTGACAGTGCGTGTGACAGTCAGTGCGTGTGTGTGAGACAGTGTGTGTGTGTGTGACAGTGTGTGTGAGTGTGTCAGTGTGTGTGTCAGTGCGTGTGTGTGTGTCAGTGCATGAGTGTGTGTGTTTGTGACAGTGTGTGTGTGTGTCAGTGCGTGTGAGTGTGTGACAGTCAGTGCGTGTGTGTCAGTGCGTGCGTGTCAGTGCGTGTGTGTGTGTCAGTGTGTGTCTGTGTGTCAGTCGGTGCGTGTGTCTGTGTGTGTGTCAGTCAGTGCGTGTGTCTGTGTGTGTGTCTGTGTGTGTGTGTGTCAGTGTGTGTGTGTGTGTTGGGAGGGGAAGATGGTAGCTGCCCTGAACAAGGGGAACACTTGCCCTCAGTAAGAGCCGGCACATGGAATCTTTTAACATGGTGAGGCTGTTTCATCGCGTCTCCCACATGGGCCTGGCTGACCAGGAAGCTCCCCTGCTCCCACCGCTCTCAGGGGGTACGTTTGAGGAATGTCCACATCCGTAGCCAGCCTTTGTGACAATGGCAACTTCTGTGGCCCAGAGTGCGAGCAGAGCCCAGAGCAATCTGATGGTCCCTGTTTCCAATCTAACACCACACCAACATAATATACACAAAGCTGGCGGAAATCCCCAGCGTGACCTGAAACAGAGAACGCTAGGGAAACACAGCAGCCCTGGCAGCATCAGGGGACAGAGAGACAAGAGTTCACACTTTGAATGCTCGGCCTTTCAGCACAAGTTGAAAGAGGTTGGAGTGGTGACAGCTTTGGAAACAAAGTGCAGGCAGTGGGAGAGAAGACACTCAGCTGTCATAGAGGAGAGGGCAAGAAGGATTGAATAACAAAAAGGCAGGGAAGGGACAAGAAATATCTGTTTCTGAAGGAGATGCATTTGGAATTTGCTACTTTTGTAAGGCTGTGACTTGGACCCTCCTTAGGAAAAAGCTAAATCCAGAGAGGGAATGATCAATGAGCTTATCTCTTCCTCTCTCACCATCTTAATGTCACTCTTTCACAAATATTGTAAATCCTTCCAACTGAATACACTCTAAACTTATTTCAAATAAATAGCAAACCACCTCTTCACCTGGCAGTTTAGTGATTTTCACACTTTTTTTTTCTCTGATATGTTTAAAATAACTTTTTCTTCCCAAACAACATTTGTGTTAACCAGGGACAAGTGCTGATTGTATCGATCAACTGAAAGCCTGAGCCTATAATGGCTCCAAAATGATTCTGCATAGATAAACAAATCTGTAGCTGCTTCCAATATTTGGCACCGTTTGATGGTCAGTAGTGAAACAGCAACACTGAAAGTTACATTCATATAACACTTTCCATGTCGTGAACAATGCAGAGGCACTTCACTGCAACGTTGTAAATCAGAGTGTACCACATAAGGGGGCAATGATTGAAAACTCGACAGAAAAGGATTTCAGGGGTGCGTTAAAAAGAGGGAAGTGAGGCATGAAGGTGAAGAGGTGTAGGGATGGAATGCCAGAGTTTGAGGTCCATGCATGGATACTGACGATGGAGAGATTAAAATGAGAGGCTGCTAATGAAAGAGCTTGGATTAGAAAATTGAAGAGCTGTGGGGCATAAAGGAGAGGGGGGCGGGAGAGAGAGCAGTCAGATCATGCAGGCGTTTGAAAACAAGGAAGAAAGTGTTAACGCAAACAAATTGCTGGAAAAGCAATGAAAATATTAACATGAGCTTATCTCTTCCTCTCTCAGTATCTCACAATCACTTGGTTTGTAAATCCTTCCAACTGAATACGCTTTGAGTTTATTTTGAGTAATAAATTTGATGAAAAGTTGAATATTGATAGAATGCCTGGCTGAGAGACTATGTAAATCAGCGAGCCTGAGTGGGGGGAGGGAGGTGTAAAGGGGAACGGACTTGCTGCGTGTTTAGACAGGGACAGTGGAGTCTTTTCACGTTCACGGATACACTTCAGATAAAGATTCATTGGAACCAAATTTCATCCGGTGGGCTATCAGTAGGTAAAGGACTACACACTTCCTTCCCTCTTAAAAAAATGCAGATTACAGACACCACGCCAAATCAATTAGTACATAAAAACAAGACAACACCCCTGCAACATGTACTGTGCATTTTCACTCAATGTCTTTTGGATTGTACAGGAACCCCCCACCTCCCCGGTCTCCCTTTCCCGCAAAACTCAGCAATTTCCTGGTTGTGGCCCCTCTGGTGGTGAAACAGCGCCACCTCCTCCCCACAGGCAGGCAGATGTAACTGCAGCGTGAGTGTTTACATTGGCAATTGCTACACCGACCGGGAGCGCAGATTTTAGCCATCCATCACCGGGCCGAAAGGGAATTCTGCAAACAGCAGATGCGGTTCGTGACAGGCAACAGGTTTGTCAGATCCAAAGTGGTCGCAGATTGGCGGGAGCAACGTGCATTTATGTAGCACCGTTCACTACATTCCCAAAGTGCCCCACAGACAATTCAACATATTTTCAAGTGTTGTGACGTAGGGCGATCAATTTGCACGCAGCAAGATTCCACAAACAGCGCACTATTACAAATATGGCTTCTCATTCTGTCAGCTTTTGTCTTGTCTTTGGAGAAGCTTAAAACATGACGTTTAAAACTGCAACTTCACATTGAGCAATTTGATAATTTTTAAGTGACAATTGTTGTCAAGGGCACCAGGAAATTAGTTGCTGCTTTTCCTTCCGTTAGTGCTCAGGAGCTTTCTACATCTGCCTGAGGGGACAGACACAAGATGAAAGATCTCAGGTAAAGGAAAACAGACCCTGACAGGGCTGCACTGCCTGAGCTCTGAATCTATCACAAGCACAAACAGAAGTTACTGGAAAAGCTTAGCAGAGAAATCAGAGTTAACGTTTCAGGTCGAGAGACCCTTCCTCAGAACTGATCCCCTCAGCCTGGATTACCTCTCTAGAGTGTGGGTCTTGAACTCACAAGCTGCAGATCGGATGGTGGGAGAGGGGGGTGGGGGGGTGGGGGGGATGCGGTGCGTGGGCTGGGGGTGGGAAGGTAGATGTGGAGGGGTGCAGGAGAGTATAAGTGGGGGTGTAAACGCTACTCACTGAGCTACTGACAGCTAGCAGTTCATGTTTTAATTAAAGTGGAAGCCCAGCCGGAAAGAGTCACACACAGTGGCCCTACCTCCTGTTTGCCCCCTGCTTTCTGAGCCAATTCATTCCAATCTCCTTCCACTCTATCCCCGTCCTCCTGCGACCATTTCCCCCAGAATTATTCATCCGATTCCCCCCTTTTTGAAGGTCTATGCTTCCACCGCTCTTTCAAGCTGCCTGTTCCAGATCACAACGACCCCACTGTAAATAAAATCTCCCTCGCTCCTTCTGTTAGAAACCTTGCAATCTGTGTCACTGACACAGCAATTCCACTCCCCCCACCCCCCAATTACTCCAGCCACTGCTTTTGACCACGTACCTTTGTGTCCCTCCTGTTTGAATACCCTGTTGGCAGCTCCAGCGACAGAAATGTCAGGTCCCAAGATCGTTCAAACTACAAAGCCAGGTCTTCAGGGAGAGATTCTCCTCCGGAGGTTTGCTGAACGAGAATGTCTACCAGTGTGCCCTGGAAATGAGGAGCTGATTCTCCCTTGCTCACCGTGTACTTGAGAGAGGGGATTAGTCAGGAACTCTCTCTGTGATGATAGGGGGGAGAAAGTGGAGAGATTGGGACCAGTTCCTGCCTGAGGGTCTGTTTAAGTAGGGTCCAGACTGCACGCTTGTGGGAGGCTGACCACATTTAGAGCTGTATCTCTCTCTTTCTCTGACCCTCACACACACTGTCGTCTACACTCAGAAACGCAAGCTATAGAAAAGGGGAACATTCCGTCAGAGAAAAAAACATTTGTGGTTTCCCTTCCTTTGTAGGCTCAACACGCGAAAGCTTGAGAGAGGGAGGGAGGGTTGGAAGGGATGGAAAGGAACTTGCCTCCTTTATACTTGCCTGCAGATACATCAAAAAAGGTCTGTGAGGGACTACCAGAGTGTCTGTCATCAACGTGAAACCTTCAGGCACCAGCTCATTAGCGTCTCTGCAGTATCAGACTTTTCATCAGTTTGTCCGCAAGAAACACTCCTGACTTTCACTCTCTCGCTTTGGCTGCGTCTGTGTACTCCTTTATAGCTAAGTTAGCCTCTGCTCCCAGCCAATAAGGGGAAGGATCTCAGATTGCAGTCAGCATTGAAATATTGCAACCAGGCACATTAACAAGCTTCCAGTTTGACTTCATTCCCAGCTCGAATGAATAGAACCACTTTTATACAGAAAAAAAAATAGTAGGTTCCTGTCCCAACTCCAATTTGTTCTCTGCCTTCTCAAACTGTTGGCTGCCTGTTCACTATAAAAACCTGTTTGGCTGCTCCCTGGTTTTAATTAGCTCGTGGTTGTACAAGCGTGCTCCAGTTCACAGCATTTGGAGGAGCCAGATCTGGTGGGTCACGGACAATCCCGGGTTTTTCCCCGGCTCCTCTTGCTGGGTTGGGGCAGTCCCATTGTGCCCAGTTACCCTTGTGCTGTGAGGAGGGCAGCGGGGAAAGTGCTGGCCGATTCTCCCAGGGTGGGTGTGGAGGTGCTGTGGGAGTGATGCTCAGCTGTGAAGCACATCAGAGTTGAATAGCCCGCAGTGGTTCACCATCCAGAGGGTGGAACTGAGCCCTGGAGATTTGTGCGGCGTTAGACATTTTGATTCATGGCCTGTGCTAATTTCCAGCTGTGTGAATATGTGTGTGTATGTGGGTGGGTGTGAGGGGAGCCTCACCTCTGTGACCCCACCCCAGGGAGAGGAAACTTGACAGGGTCCCCAACGAACAACTTACTGCAGCTGCTGGAATCAAAACGTTAGCTCCGCGGGTGTTGCCTGACCCACTGTGATTTCCAGCATTTTTTGTTTTCAGCTGGAATTCTGGACATGGGGCTGAGAAAGCGAAACTGTTCTGAAGCCCATTGGCCACACCACAGGGGCATGTGGGCCCAGCCCTGAGTGTGGAACGTCTCCAGTATTTCCTGTGGGCCTCACTAAAGCAGATCTGTGCACGATGGGCTGCTGCGTTTTTGTTTTGCATGATGGAGGCAATCACACTTTAAAAAGTCGGTGAGGAAAGCTTGTGATGTAAAATAAACCTGTTAGACTATAACCTGGAGTCATGTGATTTCTGGCCCTAGGTGGGAGGCATTTCCAACACCAACAGAAACCACTTGCTGTGCCCCCCTGCCATACAGAAAGACCCCTTTCCCTTCCCCACCACCTGATGCCAGGGACCCCCAGAGGTTTACTTTCTTTTGAAACCATTCATCACCTTCGGCTGCTCCCCACTCCTGAAGCAGTGAGTTCCAGCTTGTGACCACTCTCTGTGTACTTTACTCACAGAGAATTCCACCAGCCCTCAATCCCCAGAATGGTCACATTCCTGTATCACCTTTCACTGACAGAACCACTTTATTACCTGCATTGTGCAGGCAGCCAAGAGTAAAGGGCAATGATTGCATTGTTACCTTTGCTAATAATGTTCCAGTTCTCTGCTTTGTTGCCATATCAACACTTTGAAAGAGCTCCTTAATTGTGCTGTAACTAACTATCAGATCAATCTCCCTCTCTCCTTTACGACCTTCCAATGGTCTACTTTCTCAGCACCATCTACCATTCTAGATGTCCCTGGGTAGGAACTAACAGTGATACAGGTACAGTATGTCACAAAGGGAATAGTGAGTGACAGTGTTAGGAGACTGAAGATTTCCTTTTTAACTTACATGTTTAATTTTCTAAAAAAGATTTCTAATTTCCTGGATGTGGGGGTCGCTGTTTAGGCCCATGTTTATTACCCACCTTGAAAGGGTAGTGGAAAGTATCCTTCAAAAATATAGCCAGTTATTTCACATTTCTGAGAGTCTGGAGTCACATGTAGATACATACAGCAGATTCCCTTCCCTAAAGATGGTTTTTAATGATAATCTTTGGTCACTGTCACGGAATTTATTTATTTTTTTGAACTGAACCTTCCCAGTTGCTACAGCAGAAATTGAATTCGCCATTCAGATGATCAGTCTGGATTAGCTACCCAGTGATGTAACCACTTTACTACCACGTCCAATCAGATAAGCCTTGATCTCACTGAACGGTGGAGCAGATTTGATGGGTCAAATGGGCCTGCTCATGTCTTATGGTCCTTTTCTGATTCAATCTTGGAACACGGGCCTCACTGGCTAGGCAGCATTTATTGCCCATCCCTAATTACCCAGAGGGCAGTTAACAGTCGACCACATTGCTGTGGGTCTGGAGTCACATGTAGTTAAGGGTGGCAGGTAACCTTTCTGTAGGCTTGACAATCAGCAATGGTTTCATGGTCATCATTAGCCTCTTAATTATTATTGAATTCTAATTCCACCATCTGCTGTGGCAGGATTTGACTCCAGAACATTATCTGGGTCTTGAGATTAACAGCCCAGTGATAATATCACTAGGCCATCGCCTCCTCCCCAATCTCCATTGTTTATATTCCCACCCTATGTTCCTTCTGTCCTTTATGGGACATTTTCTCCAAATGTCTCTTGTCCTCACAAACAATGGAAAGAATTGATGAACAGTTTAATATTTACTGAGAGCCCTCTGTGCCCATCAAAAGCTGCGAACTGCTTTCCATTCAATATTTTACTTTTATGAAGTCCTCTGTGAGTGAGATGAGTCATAGTAAGGAAAATCTTTGCCCATTTCTTTGACCCACCAGTTCTTTCTTGTTCATGCCTTGCAAAATCATGACCATGCTCATGTTCATCAAATTGTGTTATAGTCCAGCACAGCAGGAGGCCATTTGGCCTATTGCACACAGACTGTCCGATCCCTCACACTCACTGCTATTAGCTCTGCTTCCACTGAGTACACCCCTGATCATAACCATTTGCTGCATCAGAAATGGTCTCCTTATGCTGCTTTATTCCCCAAAATCAGTGTCCACAGTGACCTTTCCTACACCAGAATCAGAACAGGTGCAAGGTTTGAGCCTCTCGTCAGAGATCCATCTTGTGATGGTTATAACTGGTGCCCAATTTCCCTCTTCACTTTAAGTGATGGTCTTTGCATTACCCTCACTCACTCGCACTGCAAAGGAGCAGCTAATCCTTTCAGCTCCTTGAGCAACACATCCTATTTGCTTTCCCTTTCCTGAAGTTGCAAGTCTCAGGCCAGCCAGTCCTCCATTACAACATCTCATCAGGCTAACAACCCTCATTTACAGCTTTACCTTCACTGTGAGATAACTACTACACACTGCCTGACAGAGGGGAGGGGCTGGAGGAGGTGACACAGATAGGGAAGGGTGTAGGGGCTGGAGGAGGTGACAGAGGTAGGGAGAGGTGTAGGGCCTTGAGGAGGTTACAGAGATAGGAAGTGCTTTAGGGGCTGGAGGAGGTTACAGAGATAGGGAGGGGTGTAGGGACTGGAGGAGGTTACAGAGGTAGGGAGGGGTCTAGGGGCTGGTGGAGGTTACAGAGGTAGGGAGGGGTGTAGGGACTGGAGGAGGTTACAGAGAAAGGGAAGGGGTGTATGCGCTGGAGGAGGTGACAGCAATAGGGAAGGATAGAGGATCTGGTGGAGGATACAGTGTAGGAAGAGGCGGGAACAGGGAAGGATTTGAAAACTGGGCTGAACTGTTAAAATCAATGTGTTGGGAAATGGAGAGCCATTGGGGGTCAGTTTACAGAGTGATGGTGAGAGAAAGGGGCTCCGTGTGAATTATGGCATTGCTGAAGAATTTGGATGGATTGCTGTTTCTGGATAGTGGCATTTCTGAAAGTGAACCAGGAGAGCTGGAAGTGTTTAGCATGGTGTCAACAATGAACTGGGTGATGGCTTCCACCGCTGATGAGCTGAAGTAAAAGTGAGACACCAATGATATGTAAACTGGATTTCCTCATGATTATACATAGATAACGCAGAATGGACAATAATATAAGACTCAAATGGTAACTCTCATGGCTGGGGAATGGGAATATCTGATTGGAAAGTGACAGTGAGAGTTCCTTAGGGTTGAGGTTGGGATTGAGTTATAGGTGCAGCCTCCTGTGTGAAACACAATCATTTTTGAAAATCACTTTGCTCTTTTATAATTGGAATGTTTTCACACTGTGAAACCATTTTAATGATAGTAAAACAGGCCAACGATCTATCAGATTGATGCATCCATAACCAGGAGACTTTTTAAAAAAACAATTATTTCCCAGGAGCAGAGGGCAATTAAATAAATCAGAGTGAACCTTTCATGTAGAGGTCAATTTAATCTTCGCCTTAAAACCAACACAAGTTTGATCTGTCCTTGGGCATTTTGATGTAATAGTCAGAGTGTTCTGTACTCTCTAATATTGTTTATTATATACCTGGCTGTAACTATGATTCATTTTCACAACTGATTGACGGATGACTCTTGCGTAGATTTTGAGTTTTTCCTCAGTTTCCAAGCACATGGCGCTCAGTTTGCTTTGTTCACAGTCACACCGTACTTGTAACTAACAGCGAGAAATCGGGAATCAGATTGTGGTTTGGAAATCTTCAGCCATTCCTTTGTTGCACACTGCCTGCAATGTAGCTACGAACCTGATTTTCAAAGCACACTCTGTGGTTGCATGCTTGTTATTGTCTTTGTGAAACACTAAGTTGTTGCTGAGTGACTACCGCATTCACTGTTAAACGAGAAACTCATGGTGTTCAGTCCAACTCCCGAGACCTGAAGGATGGTCTGTGCTGATACTCCAAGGCAGTACTGAGTGAGTACCACACTATCAGGGTAGGTTTGCAGGTACAACAAGTAATTAGGAAGGCAAATGGAATTTTGTCCTTCATTGCTAAAGGGATTGAGATTAAAAGCAGAGAGGTTATGTTGCAGCTGTACA